TCACAAGTTAATAACTAGTACTAAATTATATCGAATTTGTTTATGAATTTCGGTTTTAAGGGCCTCACTAACTCTCAACAAAATTTGTCTCGGGATCCTCAACCCGGCACTGATTGCAAGGATGAACAGTTTGAACATTGTGTTCGTGTTTTAAACCTCGGATTAAAATAGAATTGTATGAGCTTCAGCCGTCTGTTTCAGTTATAATATTTCGAAGGACCAAAATATTAAAAAATCAAAATGATACATGGAAATTTTTTTAAGAACTATTATGTCACTCTAGTGGCTATGTATCGCAAGGCGCGAATCATTGTTATACATCATGTCGGCAAAAGCGTGGGCGCCGACTTTTACTTTTCCCGACTGGGATCAAAATTAGAATTGCAGATTGGTCCTATAATTACGAAACATTTTGAGACATGACAAATTTTAAAGTTTTCCCTAAATTCAGATTACATAATGAAGGAGGAACCACAGTAAAAGCCAAGACAGCGTTTCTAACTGCATGTAGCAGCGACCTGGTATTAAATAAATAAATAAACAACTTCTAAGTTATAGGGTTTTTCACCGGCTTTGAATCTCTGAATATACCTTACAAGAAGAAAATTATAAATCGTTACTGCACTTTTGCCTGGGAACAGGGCCTATGGGCAAAAATTTGTGTGTTGACAACACTTGTTAGCGGAAATTGAATAATGTGTATGGGAGTGTATTGACGTTCATATTTAGTTTTTTGGTTAGAAAAAAAATTTTAATTTTCTGACGCTGGAAAATACATTGAGTCTCTAACAGCTCGTATGTTAATTTTCGCTTAAATAAAAATTATATACGATTGCATAAAATTAAGGAGTGAAGCTAATAAAATTCACAAAAGGTGAAAGAGCTAAAAAAAAAAAAGTTTATGCGAGTTGTCTGTTTATGGTATTTTCAGGTAAACTGATTTTCCAAATAAAAAAATCAATATATCCACTATATAATGGGGTGTTTGGTAAGGTAGATTGCACAGTAATACTGGATTCCGCAGAAACTAAACGGGTCTGGGTTAAGAAATAAAGGGACTGGACACATACTGTGATACACAATAAAAACAACATTCAAGCATAATATTTTGGAACCTATTGGTCCATCTCGGCTGTTCCGTCCTCAAAACTAAATTTAAATGATTAAAAAAAACATTTTAAACCCAACCCTTTTCATTCATATACTTATCAAGCCTTTTCTTAAACTCACATAAAAGTTTACTGCTTCTATAACATCTGGAAGCAACCCATTCCAAAGGCCAACCACTCTGTTAGAAAAATAAAACTGTCTTAGCTGAATATGACTCCTACCTTGCCAAAATTTATACTTGTGTCCCCCAGTCCTACTATTCTCAATGCTAAATATAAAAAAGATACGTCAACACTATCAATTCCCTATACAATCTTAAACACCTCAATCAGATCCATCCTAACTTATCTTTTTTCAAGAGAAAACAATTTGAGAGATTTCAGCCTCTCATCGTATGACAACCCCTTTATCCCAAGCACCATTCTAGTAACCCTTTCCAACAATTCAGTGTCCTTCCTAAGGTAGGTAAGGAGCCCAAGACTAAAACAGTATTCCAAATGTGGCCTAACCAGTGACCTGTACAATGAAAGTACAACCTCTTTAGACTTGCATTCAATATTTCTATAGATACAACCTAAAATCCTATTTGCTCTACCACTAGCAACAGCACACTGCTTGGATGGCTTTAGAAACTGATCGACAATTACACCAAGATCCCTTTCCTTCATAACACTATTAAGGTTATTCCCATCCAAATTATACCTATAATTTAAATTATGATAACCCACATGCATTATCTTGCATGTATTATAATTAAAACCCACCTGCCATTTATTTGCCCAATTCACTAAATGATCTAAATATTTTTGTAAATCAGCAGCATCCTCTTCACAGCTAGCAACACCCAATACCTTAGTATAATCAGA